GCGTCCAGGTCTGGTCCTGAGTCTGCCCCCTGTTCGTGTCGTCTCCTGTCTCACGAGACTCTCCTCTGGCACCACCGCCTTGGCCACCCCTCTCTGCTTCGGCTCAGAGGTATGGCCTCCCGTCTTCTTGTGTCCGGTCTCCCCCGGTCCCTCCCTCCCCTTCCTCAGGGCCCTGGCCCTGCCTGTGTCCCCTGTGTCGAGGGGCGCCTGCGTGCTGCCCCTCACTCCTCCCAGTTTCCTCCGACAGAGGCCCCGTTGCAGACACTTCACATGGACGTGTGGGGCCCAGCCCGCGTCCGTGGACAGGGTCACGAGCGCTACTTCCTGCTCGTTGTTGACGACTACTCGCGTTACACCACAGTCTTCCCCTTGCGCAGCAAGGGTGATGTCACTGAGGTGCTGATCGACTGGATCCGCGCAGCTCGTCTCCAGCTCAGGCAGAGCTTCGGCTCGGACTTTCCTGTTCTGCGTCTGCACTCGGACAGAGGCGGAGAGTTCTCCTCTGGCCTTCTGCGTGCCTACTGTCGTGCACGGGGCATCCGTCAGACCTTCACGCTTCCGGACTCACCGCAGCAAAATGGGATTGCTGAGCGCCGCATTGGCATGGTCATGGACGTCGCTCGTACGTCTATGATGCATGCGGCTGCCCCCCATTTTCTGTGGCCGTTTGCGGTTCGGTACGCGGCGCATCAGATCAACCTCCACCCCAGGGTCTCCAGGCCGGAGACCTCCCCAGCCCTCCTGTGGACGGGGAAGGTTGGCGATGCGTCGGCGTTCCGGGTCTGGGGATCTCGGGCGTTTGTCCGCGACCTGTCTGCGGACAAACTATCCCCTCGTGCTGCTCCTTGCGTCTTCCTGGGGTTCCCCCCTGACGCGCCTGGGTGGCAGTTTTACCACCCCACCTCTCGCCGTGTTCTGTCCTCCCAGGACGTCACGTTTGACGAGTCGGTCCCCTACTACCGCCTCTTCCCCTACCGCACTCCGTCCCTCCCCCCACCCCCACTCTTCCTGGTACCAGGTCCCCCCCAGGTAGACCCCCTCCCCCCTCAGGGTCCTGCCCCTTCAGGTGTGTCCCAGGTAGACGCGGTCGAGCCTGTCGAGGTCGCTGGTGACTCTGGTGCTGCTGTGGGTGCTGAGCCTGGGGGTGCTGTACCTGGGGGTGCGGAGCCTAGGGGTGCTGGGCCTGGGGGTGCTACGTCTGGGGGTGCTGAGCCTAGGGGTGCTGAGCCTAGGGGTGCTGAGCCTGGGGGTACTGAGCCTGGGGGTGCTGAGCCTGGGGGTGCTGAGCCTAGGGGTGCTACGTCTGGGGGTGCTGAGCCTAGGGGTGCTACGCCTGGCGGTGCTGAGCCTGGAGGTGCTTCGCCTGGAGGTTCTCCGAGTGCTTCGTCTCGCCGGGAGCCACTTTCTCCACAGGAGCTGCGTGAGTGGTTTGCCCGGCGCTGGAGGCGTGCTGCTGGTGCTGGAGGTCCTTCGGCTGCTGAGGGTGCTGCGGTCGCGGGTCCCAGAGGTGCTCGTCCTGGGTGCACTGGAGCTGGTGCTACTGAGGGTGCTGGCGCTGAGACTACTGCTGGCAGTCCTGCTGGGGGTGCTCCTGGTGCTGCTGGAGGTTCTGGAGCTACTGGTGGTGCTGCTGGAGCGGGTGCTCCTGCTGAGGGTTCTGGTGCTGTCCCGGCTGCTTCTAGCGTCGCCGCGCGGCCTCGACCGTACTTCGTGCCACTCCTGCAGCAGGTTCTTGGTCTTCCACCCTCTACTGGTCCTCCTCCTCCCTTAGAGTGTCCACAGCCTGTCTCGTCCCAGCTACAGTTGCAGCCTACCTCCCCTTTGCCTGCTCCTTCTCCCTACACTGGTCCTACTGGAGGTCTGGCTGAGCGTCGTGAGCCTGCGTCTCGCCCTGCGTCGCCTGTCCGTGCTGCTCGCACTAATGGTCGCGGTTCGCGTCAGCGTCCTCCTCCTGTCCCTGGCACGCACCGGATGTCTCTGCGTCCGTCCACTGCTCCTCTGCCTGCCCCTTTGCCTTCTCCTCCTGACTCCTCTCTTCCTGCTCTTGCCGACCCGGAGTCGGACTCTCTTCGTGCTGCCAGTCCTACTGTCACGCGTCTCCTTGCTACTGTTGTCACTGACCCTTCTTTCGAGTCTACTGCTGCGTCTGCTCTCGTTACTGAGCTCGTCGACTTTGCTGCTCGCTGTCGCTTAGACTACGCTGCTAGTCTTGTCGCAGAGTCTGAGTCTGTCTGTCCTCCGTCCGTCGGGGGTGAGTGTGCCCTTGGCACGGACGTCCTTGAGGACAGGCAGGAGGAGTTCCAGTGTCTGGCAGCCGCCTCACCTCATCTCGTGTCCGTACTGCTTACCCCTGAGGGAGACCCGGATGCACTTGACATCCCGACTCCGCGCTCTTACGCGGAGGCGATAGAGGGTCCCTACTCCTCTCAGTGGCAGGCAGCTATGGATGCAGAGATGGCTTCCTGGAAGTCCACAGGCACCTACGTTGACGCTGTCCCCCCTCCTGGGGCGAACATCGTCAGTGGCATGTGGATCTTCAGGGTGAAGCGGCCGCCGGGTTCTCCGCCTGTCTTCAAGGCGCGTTACGTGGCTCGTGGCTTCAGTCAGCGGCAGGGAGTTGACTACTTTCAGACCTTCTCCCCCACCCCGAAGATGACCACTCTTCGGGTACTGCTGCACGTTGCTGCTCACCGTGACTACGAGCTGCACTCTCTTGACTTCAGCACAGCTTTCTTGCAGGGCAGCCTGCACGAGGAGATCTGGCTGCGTCGCCCACCTGGCTTCACTGGGTCTTTCCCTTCTGGTACCCAGTGGAGTCTCCGGCGTCCAGTCTACGGTCTCCGCCAGGCGCCACGTGAGTGGCACGACACACTGAGGACTACACTTGCGGCTCTTGGGTTTGCTCCTTCTACTGCCGACCCGTCGCTGTTTCTACGCACCGACACCTCTCTGCCGCCGTTCTACATCCTCGTGTACGTCGACGACTTGGTCTTTGCCACAGCTGACACTGCTGGACTCGCCCACGTGAAGTCCGAGCTGCAGAAGAGACACTCGTGCACAGACCTGGGTGAACTGCGCAGCTACCTTGGCTTGCAGATCACCCGGGACAGAGCACGTCGCACCATTACCCTGACTCAGTCACACATGGTGCAGCAGGTCCTTCAGCGCTTCGGCTTCACGTACTCCTCGCCTCAGGCCACTCCTCTGTCTACTCGCCACTCGCTCTCAGCTCTGCCTTCGGATGAGTCCGTAGAGTCGAGTGGCCCGTACCCAGAGCTTGTTGGCTGCCTCATGTACCTGATGACCTGCACACGACCTGACCTTGCATACCCTCTTAGCATTCTGGCACGCTATGTTGCTCCTGGGAGACACAGACCAGAGCACATGGCTGCAGCGAAGAGGGTGTTGCGCTACTTGTGCAGTACGTCGGGCATGGGGCTAGTGCTTGGAGGGCGGAGTCCAGTGGTCCTCACTGGGCACGCGGACGCTTCTTGGGCTGACGACCAGGCTACGCAGCGGTCGTCACAGGGTTACACCTTCAGCCTTGGTTCCGGCTCTGTTTCGTGGCGGGCTACTCGCTCGTCTTCTGTTCTTGGCTCGAGTTGTGAGGCTGAGATCTACGCCGGGGCCATGGCTGCACAGGAGCTTCGCTGGCTCACCTACCTGCTGACCGACCTTGGAGAGCCGCCTCGTTCTCCTCCAGTCCTGTACGTAGACAACAAGGCCATGCTGGCCTTGTGTCGAGAGCAGCGACTGGAGCACAGAACAAAGCACATTGCTCTCCGCTACTTCCTTGCTCGTGAGCTACAGCAACGTGGTCAGTTGCGGCTTGCGTACGTGGCCTCTGAGGCCAACACTGCTGATGTCTTCACCAAGGCACTTCCGCCTTGTGATCATCAGCGCTTCTGCACTCAGCTGGGTCTTGTGCCCGTCTTGCCTCACTTGCTCTCCTCTTGACCTTGCCTGTACTCTCACATATATATATACCTGCTCTTGCTTGTCTAGCTTTATATATATGTGTGTACTCTTGCATGTGAACTGGCCGTGTGGCCTTGACCCTGTGCTCGGACTGTGTGGTGACTTTGTGATCCACCCTGAGCTTGCTTTGCTTTACTTTGCTTGACTGGTCTTGTGACCCCTTGTTCTCCCCCACTTTGCCTATGGGGGTGTGTCAGAACATTATAGCTTATGCTGTTGTGTAGGCTATAGTGGGGTATCCCATAGGGGGTACAACCAATTAGGGTTTCATATTTGTACTCACTTCATTTCATAGTTCACACATTCTTCTTGTTCAAATCTTCTCACTGTTGTCTATTGCGGTGTTATGTTTGTTGAAATACTAAATAGTCAATATCAATCCACGGTCATGCAGGTGGCGATGAAGACCATGGGACGGGTATGGAGTGCACTGAAATCGGAGGCCACACAGCGGTGAAGTCACGCCAGAAGCGTGGCTTCATTACTACTCAGTTCTACATGGGGATGTTTTTTCGTCATGCACCATAAATGGCTCTGATGACAGTGCCGCCTCACCGTCTGTAGCGGTGGCTAACGAGTCTGGGAGCCCTTCGATTTCCAGAGATGAAGAGTGGACGCCGAGGCCTGAAGATGGCGCATCGGAGACCGATTCTGAATCTAACCATGCTTTCGTGACGAAACGTGCAGGCACACAGACATCGGGTGGTAAAAAAGAGGCTCACAAGAGTCGCGGTCGTGGGATGCGCAAGACTCAGACGCAAGCTGCGACGAGGGACCCTATGGACACGATCAAGAGCGTGCGGCAGAAAACTCCGCGAGGCAATGCAGGTCGTAAGAAGGCGGTCAATGTATATGGCCCACGACGGAATTGAATCAACCGTGAGCCATCACCTGCTAACAATGGACCGGATCATGGCGACGGGCAGTGCGGTGGAGGCGATGACGGCGATGACGTCGTTGAGGTGACGGAAAGGGCTGTTGGCTCATATCCAGTGTCACATTCTTCCCCCCCGCTGAAGTCAATGCCCGCACCAACAGGGAGTGCAGGTCACTGCACGGGCAGCGTACAGACGCCGGTGAAGCAAGAGCCGCCCAAAGCGACTTGCCGCGGGTCTCCTCTGAGCCGCGCAGGCATGCCGCCGAGAGCACGGGCGGGCACTTCCGCACCTTCCGCTATGTGTGCGACAGAGGACGGGCCCGATCAGGCAAATGACGAGCCAGCGGACGGCGCTGCTGGCGTCGACTTGGGAGTGATCTCCCAGCTCCTCATCCGCGTGCTGAATGGCGCTGCGGGGCCGGCCCTCAAGACTGGTGGAAACCCTGGAGCAGCAGCAGAGTTGCTGGTAGTCCTGCAGAAGCTTCAAACATCGCCGATGGCAGGCATTGCGACCACGGAGGCGAAGAGGGCGGCACCTGCACCGCCCGCTGATGGGAAGGGCGCCGCACGCGGGAAACATGCCGTCGACCGTGTGGGAGAGAAGGTCGCAGCTGGGGCGACCCATACTGGCGCGGATCATCTCTATCCGACACGCCGTTCAACGCCACTTGCGGGGGTGGATGACGTTCCTGGCCCCGGTGTAAGTGGAGAACTCCCTTCGGCCGCCCCTGGCGAGCGAACGAAGGGACTCAATTGAGGGTTGTGGAAAAACCCACTTGAGCCGGTCACTGCACCACGCCCGGGACATACAATTAGCGAAGACGGGTACGTATTGTACTTGTATGACGGTTGCAGGGGCTGGGCACCATGCATCTATGAGTTTTGACGAAGAATATCCACTACCCTATTTCAACACCCCCCCGCCCGCAGAGCACGAGATAACGGTGCCAAAAACGGCCGCAGGCTGAAGCGGGACCGAGGTGACGACCACATCTCGGTGGTCGTTGGCTTTGATCCTGACTGTAAGAGCCGCGTCCGGAAGAACGGCCTCCCTGATCCCGAGCGGATTCATGTGAGTGTAGTTACGTGCACGAAGGCGCGGACATGTGGGTAGGGCTGGCGGGCACCGCACGTATGCTCTGGATACGGGGGTTGATATCTTGAACCTAGGCAGCTCCTTGTTCTCACGGCTTTTGCAATAATGTAGGCTTGTTCCAACCTCATGCCACCCCTCATGTCTCCCTGGAGTGTCAATGCGCCCATGCAGGTGTACGCCAAGCTGGCACTGAAGCTATTGCTACGCAGGTGTCGGGCGCGTGGAGTGACCTACTTCCCCAACTTCAGCAGTCGCTGTTACGCTTTGAAGACAGATCTGAGGAGGGACTACGACGTGTGCTACCAGGACGTCGTGGTGATGATGGAGGACAAGAACTACAGCTTGCGGGTCAACAAGGTGTGGGCGAAGTTTAGGACTGACTCGTCCGCGATTGCGAGGCGCACGTTGATCGATGGCCTCGAGATAAAAGTGGATGCAACCGGTTACTTCAAAATCGAGTTACCGGTGAAGGTGAAGGAGGAGCTGTATGACCGTTACGCGCCCTATAAGTGCTTGCACCATACCTCCAACACGGCCCTGGGGTGCTGGATACGTGGGGCTTGCTGCATGCATTACGTTGTTTCCTATTTTGCGGCTGCCCGTTCCCCCCCGGTTGGTCAGGGACCTGACTTCAACGCATCCGTAACTAAGGCCTGCCATGAAGACCTGGGTGTGGGGAAACGGCCCTGGAATGCTTTGAGCTACTGTAATGACTGTCAATCGTTCATAGGCTCGTTGCTAACCCACCACCTGCAAACTCTCTCGTAAACCCTTTCCCCTTAATCCACCCTCCATTTGCATGCGTCTCACTTGGGTGGTTTCTGACAGTGGAGAACGTTGGGCAGGATGTACCCAACTGGAGCCATGAGCCGAAGGATCGTCGTCCGTTCACGAGCGAGATCTTCTATGAGGCATGTGTGGCGGCGTATCCGGAGTGGGAGATGGAGGGGATCATGGTACTGGTGCCCTATCACATCGCATGGGTGATGTACTCGGTGAGACAGCTTGTGCTTGATGCGTTATGGGTACTGTGGAGTTTGCTTGAGATGTCTAATACGCCCTGTTTGTGTGGTAATGTGTGACATGAACAGCTGGACTATGGCCTGGCCAACCACGAGACAGAGGCCATGTGCTTCTCAGGGGGGCCCGTGGAGCATGAGAAAAGAATGAAGGATGCTGCGAAGCTGGTGTGGAAGGTCGTCAAGAAATGGCTGGGGATTAGCCAGGGGGTGTGGTATGACGAGGAGGTGGGGGCGCTTCAGTGGGGGGACTATGGGCTGTATGTGAACAGCAGTGGGTTCACCGAGTTTATCCCTAACAATGTGGACTCGCTTGTTGTGAGAGATTCCCTCTGGCTGGAAGCATGAGCGGGGATTAGGCGTGAACCTGAACCCACGCTCTTTATTTGCCTGCTATAATGAGGTTTCTGTTGTGTTATGGATCAAGCTTTGATTTTGTGGTGGGTTTGAAAATTTGGCAAAAAAGGTGCTACAATGAACCCCTCTAAACGGTCGTAACGTTATGACACTACATGTTATTCTTAGGGGGCTTTGTACACTCATAGTACTGTAGCTCGAGGTGTCAGAATATCATGCTTGTCTAGCCTGCAGTGGGGTACTCTATAGCGAGTACAACCCAATTAGGGTTTCCTATATGTATCTCAACTGCTGCTAGTGCAAACTCTCCTTTGCTTATTCTCTCTTGCCTAGCTTGCTAGCTATGGCTCCTGCGTTCTAACCGCTATTGTGACATGGTAACAGAGCTGTTACGCTCTTGGCCTGTGGGCCCACCTGCTTCTGCTGCTTTCCTGTCTGTCGCGCGCCCCGTGGCGCGCGACGCTGTTTTTTCTTCCCGCCATGCGCTCGGGGCGCATGGCGGTTTTCTGCCCGCCGAGCGCTCGGGGCGCGCGGCGGTTTTCTGCCCGCCGTGCGCCCCGAGGCGCGCGGCGGTTTTCTGCCCCGTCAACCCGCGCGTCACCCCCCGTCGCCCGTCGCAGCGCCCCCGGGGACCCGCGCGTCGCCCCCCGTCGCCCGAAGCGGCCCGCGCGACCTACGCCAGGCCCGCGCGCGGCCCGTACAGCCCGCGCGCGGCCCGTACGGCCTGCGCCAGGCCCGCGCGCGGCTCGTACGGGCTGCGCCAGGCCCGCGCACGGCCCGTACGGCCTCCGCCAGGCCCGCGCGCGTACTTTGCTTGGCAACACTTAACATCACTTGCAGCCCTTCAAGTGTGACAGCTTGTCACCTCCTAGCCAAGGGCGTAGAAAATATCAAGTAAGTAATTATGCCTTGCTCAGCTTGTAGGACGAGCAAACTGGTCGAGAAGAATTTCGGCAGCACCAAGGTAATATTTCTACTCTCGTCAATACGAAGTAGTAGAATGCGAGCTTGAAAAACGCGAATGCATTAGATTAATTTCGACAGGTACAAGTACACAAATTTATATAGATTCTACGCACAGGCAGGAGAAACTAGAAAACAGTTGTTTAACTGGCTCGCAGGATTTCGCCACGCTGTATCTTGAAAACAGTTGCAGAACTCCTTGAGCATTTGGCTATATCCTCCTGTTGTTAAAAACTGTCTTCAAATTGCACTTGTAACAATCGCCCCTGCTGACTCAAATGCGTACACTCATGAGACTCGCATGTTGCTCCAATGTAGCTCAAATGTCTTCATGCGAGCTCACAGTTGTATAACGGTTTTTACCGTTTGAAAAACGGAGTAACCGATGTGTACCTGTGTCGAAATGATTCCGCAAAGCGAAATGACTTTCGCGAGAAATTTCCCGTCCCGTGAGTCAACTCGGACAACAGTTTTTCAACTGTAAATTCCGAGCACCCCTCGTGCCACACGCACGACCGAGATTTTTCTCGGTCGTGCTGTACAACGCGCCATGATCGAAATCATGCGCGTGTACAGTACGGGACATTGCCGAAATGGGCCCTGTCTTGTTGCGATCGTACTGTACAGCACGCTCGCAACAGTGCGCGGCACACGCGCGTGCCCTGTGGTCCCACACGCGCGTACCTTGACCCACGGGTCTTGACTTTCGCGCTTTTGACCAGCGCGAGAAAAGTCAAGGCACCCCTTGACCAGATAAAGAACCGAGCACCCCTCGGTACACCACCCGCTCACATGAGGCTCCAATAAGTCTCGCATGAAATTCGAGACTCATGGGACTTTCATGGTCCCTCGCATGAGCCTCGCATGAAACATTTAAGTCCCATGCGAGCTTCGTTTGAGCTCCATAAGGTCTTCATTTGAGCCTCATTTTAGGGCTTCGCATGAGTCTCATTTGAGAGCTTCGCATGAGCCTCATTTGAGCGCGTCATGAGGGCCTCATTTGAGAGCTTCGCATGAGTCTCATTTGAGCGCGTCATGAGGTCCTCATTTGAGCGATTCATGGGAGCTTTACGAGAACAGTGAAAACAAAACTGAAAATGCAAAAACACAAGATGCACTTATGAATAAGAACGAAACACACAAAACGCAAGAACAAATGCGCACAGAACGTTCACAAAATGAAAATGAAAAATGCGCACACACACAAATATGCAAAATGCGACGCATGCGGCTGGTTGACGTGCAAAAATAAATATTTGCACCCAATACATTATTCCAGATAATTGTAAACACGGTGCTACTCCTTTTGAAGCTTCTATGGTTTTTTTCTGGTTAACGTGTTTCCGCCTCTCATGCGGTGCCGATTCTGGGTTACTCCTTGAATTTCATTTTGAAAGGCCGCAGTCCCACTTCTTTAGTGTCGCAGCTAGATTTCGACGTATCGGATTTGAAGATTCTAGGGATTACTTCCCGTCGAGTCGCCTCTCGCGACTCTCATCGGTTCCAACCAGCTGCTTAACTTAGCGAAGTTGCCGAAGCGGCAAGAAGTGAGCATGATGGATGCTACCATACGATACAACGTATGCATGTATGATTAGCTACTCAACAGATCATGCAGCACAAGGGTTTAAGGAGTCATACAAGGTGGACTATAGTTGTAACTGATTCACAGCCAGTCACATGATCTTGTTAATCACCGATACACTGTGTTTACTGCGGAGAGTTACTCTACAATGGTAGTGAGCTAGATTACGGGGGTTGGCACGAACTACTAGGATTGATCGTAGCTTTGCTTGGTTCCTTGGTGCTTGCACATACACGCGAGAAATTGGCAAGAGTTTCCACTAGGCAAAGTCGAAATTACAGAATCATTCAACAAGCAATGACAACAATGACTACATCGGACACCTAGCAACCCTGCTGCTAGCCTGGTCGACCGCCAGCCAGCGTTGCGTAGAGGAGCCGCGCCAGCACTGCAGGAGGGCGACCTGCCAACAGAGCAGGTCGACGGCGTGCCAACGCTGCAGCAGAGCGGCTGTCCAGCGTTGCCCCGTAGAACACAGCAATGCGCACGCTCACAGATGCGCGCAGACGATTGGCCCGACTTGCCTCGTTGGGCATCCGTCGGCTGTTGTCTGCGCCTGACAAGCCACATCGACTCTGGGATACCAGCCCGCAGTCGCCTGCGCCATCGCATCCTCGACGACGTTCGCGTGCCTCCGCAGAACTCGTCGAGCAGGTTACCCGGTCGACCCGGTCGACCCCCAGGCGCTCTGGTCGACCCCCAGGCGCTTCCGGTCGACCACCAGGTCCCTCTGATCGACCACCAGGTGCCTCTGGTCGACCACAACTCCCGTCGAGCTACCCCCTGGTCGACGGACCCCTTCCGTCGACCAGAACCATCAGCGGTTGTCACCGAGCTCCCCTCGTCGACCGCTGCTCACTTGTCAGGTCGACGGACTGCTCCGTCGACCTCCCGGTCGAACTTCAGGTCGACGGGATGCTTCGGAGACCTCCCGATCGAGCGGCAGGTCGACGGGATGCTCCGGAGACCTCCCGGTCGAACGGCAGGTCGACGGGATGCTCCGGAGACCTCCCGGTCGAGCTGCAGGTCGACGGGATGCTCCGGAGACCTCCCGGTCGAGCTGTAGGTCCTGGTCGACGTCCCACCCGTCGCCCAGACCAGTCAGTTGCAGCTGTCGAGCTCCTGCTGGTGCTGAGGACCCTGGAGTTGGAGCTGCTGCTGGTGCTGAGGACCCTGGAGTTGGAGCTGCTGCTGGTGCTGAGGACCCTGGAGTTGGAGCTGCTGCTGGTGCTGAGGACCCTGGAGCTGGAGCTGCTGCTGGTGCTGAGGACCCTGGCGTTGGAGCTGCTGCTGGTGCTGCGGACCCTGGAGTTGGAGCTGCTGCTGGTACTGAGGACCCTGGAGTTGGAGCTGCTGGTGCTACTGGTGCTGGAGGTGCTGGCGCTGCTGGAGCTACTGGTGGTGCTGCGGGAGTTGTAGCTGGAGACCCTGGAGCTGAGGCTGCTGGTGGTTTCTCTGCTGGTTCTGGAGGCGCTGCGCGGCCGCAGCCGTACTTCGTTCCGCTCCTTCAGCAGGTCCTTGGTCAGCCGCCTCCTCCTTGTCATGCCCCCTCCCTAGAGTGTCTTCCGCCAGTCCAGTCGCAGTCACAGTTACCTCCTGCCTTGCCACTCCCTGGTCCTTCTCCCTACACTGGTCCGACTGGAGGTCTTACCGAGCGTCGTAAGCCTGAGTCTCGTCCTGCGTCGCCTGAGTCTCGTCGAGCGTCGCCTGTTCGTACTGCTCACACTGGTCGTCGTGTCCCGCGTCAGCGTCCTCCTGCTGTCCCAGGCACTCACCAGATGGCGCTTCGTCCTTCCACTGCTCCTCAGCGTGTCCCTCTGCCGTCTCCTCCTGCGTCCTCTCTTCCTGCTCTTGCTGACCCGGAGTCTGACTCCCTTCGTGCTGCCAGTCCTACTGTCACGCGTCTCCTCGCCACTGTTGTCACTGACCCTTCCTTTGAGTCCTCTGCTGCGTCTGCTCTAGTCGCTGAGTTAGTTGACTTTGCTGCCGCTTGTCGTCTCGACTACGCCGCTAGCCTTGTTGCTGAGTCTGAGTCTGTCTGTCCTCCGTCCGTCGGGGGTGAGTGTGCTCTTGGCACGGACGTCCTTGAGGACAGGCAGGAGGAGTTTGAGTGCTTAGCCGCTGCTTTACCTCATCTCGTGTCCATGCTGGTTGCCCCTGAGGGAGACCCGGATGCTCCAGACATCCCGACCCCGCGCTCTTACGCAGAGGCGATAGAGGGTCCCTACTCCTCTCAGTGGCAGACAGCCATGGACGCAGAGATGGCTTCCTGGAAGTCCACAGGCACCTACGTCGACGAGGTTCCCCCACCTGGGGCGAACATCGTTAGTGGCATGTGGATGTTCAGGGTGAAGCGGCCGCCGGGTTCTCCGCCTGTCTTCAAGGCGCGTTACGTTGCACGAGGCTTCAGTCAGCGAGAGGGAGTAGACTTCTTCCAGACCTT